GCTTTACTGGAACATTCTTGTTGGGGCTGTTTCCGAGGCAATCTCGTTCGATTCCGGTGAAAAGGTGCTTAGTTTTCGTCCGTCATGTGACAAACATCATCCGAGCGAGGTACCATCATCACAACAAAATTCAAGCTAACGAGTCAAGAAAACTCTCCGGCAAGTCCCTAAAAAGTGGTCTCTTTGATGAGGTATAAAGTGATTTGGTTAGTTACCGTCATGTGTCAACTTTGATGCATGTGAGTGTGTCTGTCTCTGTATGTGTATGTGTATGTGTCTGTTTGTGTTTGCTCATGCACGAAACCCAAAGTGATGGCTCAAAGGACAGCAAAAAAGGAAGTATTTTGATACATTCGAAGAGGAAGCTGGTCTCGATGAGCCTCTTGAGACAACATTGTAGCGATTGGTAGGTCGACCTCACCAGAAGACGACAGCTGAATCCCGTTTGGCTCTTGGGCGACGCTGGAACGCATTCTTGTCAACGTGTCACGTTGACGACACCAGGTCAAGGAGACTATCCGCCTCGATCTTACTCTTTAAATCGACGCAAAAGAAAAGTACCAAATAAATTATCTTTCGTGTTGGTCCTGCCACTTGTGTTCCAGTTCGTGTGTGTGTGTGTGTGTGTGTGTGTATAAGCATCTATAAGCAATACCGCTCATAAAAACGAGTGATCAAGAAGGCTAATGTTAGACTCTGGTCGTCAAGCGTAAGCCCTGACCGAGACTGCGTAAGTCTGTCAACAAGTATGCTTAAAATAATGAGATGTGGCTTGTAAGTGGTCAAATCAGGTTATGAAACCACTTGTCCGAATCTCTCAGTCTGGGGTCATTAAGGTTCAACTACCCAAGCGCAGGCATAACTGGGTTTTGCAATTTCGCATGTCTGGTTCGGTTGATGAGCTCAATCGGACAGGTCGGACGAGTGTGAGTCAAGTTAGAAGTGGACAAATTGAGTCATCTTCGTTTAGATGAGAGTATTTTTGACAAATTGGCAACATTGTGAGCTCACCTGCATTCCGGGGAGAAGTGTGGATGCTGACGAGATTCGAAGGTGGATTCCACCAAAAGACGAGAGCGGATTCCGCTTGACCAACTGTCGATTGGCATTACTGGAAGGTTCTTGCTGGCGCTGTTTCCAAGGCAATCTCCCTCAAATCCGGTGAAAACGTGCAATATTTTCGTGCCTAGTACCACCTTTACAACCATATTTAAGCTGACAAGTCAACAAAAACTAAAATAAAATAGGAAGACTCTTGGTATGGTCGCAGCCTCTTTTCGATTATATAAAAGTGGGTTTACCTCGTTTTCACAACTTGGTCTTGTTGCCAGGGCGACTTAGTTGAACACACCCTGTCTGAAGTTGTCACAATTGCCAGCATCAGATCGTGGACCTGATACATTCTCAGACGGTCTAATGCTGGGATTTATGACAACTTCTACAAGGTGCATTCAACTAAGTCTCCCCAAAATCAAGACCAAGTTGCGAAAACGAGGTGAGCACACTTCTCAAAACTTAAGGGCCGGTGAGTTTTCGTGAATTGTTGGTTTTAATGTGGATGAAAGAATGATGTTTTTCTCTAATGAGGTTCGTCACATGACAAACGAACGCTTATCATGTTGTCACTGGAATCGAACATGCGTCAACAAGCATGTTAGACGAAAGCCAACCGAGAAATGGGCGAGAAAGTTACGTTTTCGTCTTCTGGTGGGATCGACACTTGAACCGGTTAATCACAAACTGTCACTCCGAACGAAATTGAGGTAAGCATGTGCGAGAAAGATTGGTCAATTCAAGTAAAAGGGGCTTTTTAAATACAGAATTATCTGCAAAGTAAAACAATTTACCCACATGGTATGAAGTGAGCCTGCGTTTCCGTTAAATTTCACA